TATCTCGTTCTCAGGCGGACAGTCATCCTTATCAGGTTTCTATCCCCCAGATGTCGGATTTATATCTTTCAATCTTCTTTTCCTCGAAGACTGCGAAATTGTGGAACACCCTCAGTTCAGTTAAGCTTTTACAAACCTTACTCATGCACTTTCGAGCGCCGATTTGGGTTGTTATCTTTTGGTGCCCCATTCGGATAAAAGAGCAAAATGAAGATTGGAATGTTGAAAGCAAATTCAAGCGGAAGATGAAGAATTTACACAGTGGTGTCAGGAGAATAATGAGTGTTTGCACGAGCGATACTGTTTGTGACACCCAGTCTTCTCCATCTCTCTACATTTCCCTACCCACCACTTCTCGCGGTCATTCCTCACACTATTGATGAACTAGCTTTTAAGGGAATTACGCGCTTTGTCGTATTTCGAATCCGAAGGAATGGCTTTGAGAACATCCAGCATGGCAACCGAGGTCGGGGAGATCTATCGTTTTTTTATTTGATCGTGCGCCAGAATTAGTCGTTGTTTTAATCGACGTTTGGATTGCTTCCTTGATTGTCATCCAGTGTTCACTGAGTGTGGAACACTCTTCCCATCTGCGTGTTTCCAAGCCCTTATATCTTACTTACTCTTTTCCAAAGCAGGATTACCAAGTGGAATGTTTCCCCACATACCTGCTCCTTACAGTATACCATTGATTATAGGGTTTAATTCTTTTGCTGTAAATCACTTTGGGTATAATTTAAAAAAATCCAACACATGGCTCGTGTTGTCCCGTGCATATTCTGAGTGTGCTTATTGTACATGCAATTATCGAATGCACGCTCGTATTTTTTCTTGCGTACAGAAATCGACGCAGTGTTAACAGCTAGTCAAATTGGGGTAACACCGAACGGTCTGTGTTGGTTGAATGCATCTAATGAAGTCCAGTCAAACTAAGCTTTATGCACGCGAGGCAGAAATTTTCAACAAATTTTTATGAGAACACAGTGGAATTAGGGGAAAACACACAGAGAATTGAGGTAAATAAATCTGACAGCTCACGGTGACCAAGAAGACGGTGGTAACAGTTTCAAAAATATATTTAAATAAACTAACTCAAACGATATTCCATCAGACTTGTAATAATTGGTGCCCGGTTCATTGAAAAAAACGTGCAAGATTAGGGAGGATGCTGTGCTGGAGAGTGCGGGAAGAGCTTGTAATGCGAGCGGGTACTGGAGTTGGACATGGATCTAAGAAGTTTGTTGTATGAGCATTGATCTTAGTTGGTCAATAACCTGTCAACTATACATTCATTACCTTCTTCGATATGCTTGAACATAAGAAAATCAACCAGGATCTGTCTGGCTATGTATGCCACTATATCGGGGAAGGAGCTTTATGGATCTCGAACTAAATATGAAATCTCTTCTTTCGGGACGGGTAAAATACAGGAGAACAGTGCACTCAATGAGGGAGGATGCATGTGATCATAAATTTGGGAGGTTCCTCGGTCTGAAGGCATAAAAAGAAAGATTACGAACCCCGTAAACCTTGTGAGATAGAACGACGCCCAGGTACTGAACGGAGCCAGGTTTGGGAATGCTGTGACCGTGGACGATTAGTTCCGGCAAAATCATTTGGAATTAATTTGAAAACAATCACTTCAGGGTGTGATCAGTCACCGATCAGTGAGTGCACATGGGAAACCAGCCTCAATCAAAGTGTGTATGCGCAATGACAGGCAATCGGAGGTTTCAATGAACCCCGATGAATGCAAAGGGAGGGGCAAAAAGAACCAAATTCCGGCCAAGGATATTTGTGAGCGAATTTTATCACACAGACCAATCAGTTGAAGGCGATAGGCGGTGTGCTTAACACACCAACCCAATATCCTATCCTCACTCTCAGATGACCTTCTGGTGTTGTTGTTATTGTTGTTGTTTTTGACCTTAAACCCTCTCTGTAAGTGTCGAACCTTAAGATGAAATCGATCAAAACCTGTATAACAGTCGACAGTGAGTAGTCAGAAACGCACAAAGGGTTTAGGGATAAGGAATCAACAGCGAATAAATGTGAACAATCAGGCACCCGGCATGACGAGAATAAACCAGTGTGGGCACAGTGAAAAACAGTGTGCTTTCGTACAACCGCGGGAATTATTATGAAACGACAGAGAACATATCGTGAACAGAATCCTGGGTGGGGGGGGGAAGGGAGGATTACGAGGGAATACCACATGTGCATGTTTGGTTTGGCATTGAACTGCGGTGTTGTGTATGCACGGTGTGTACAAGCGTATTAGTACTCCACTTCATATCCTGTTTCGAGGCTTACAAAACAACAACGACAGGATGATGATTCCTTGTATCCCTGAGGTTTCTTACAGAATCGATCATGTACTACTGGCGGAAATGTCTGATGCAACAAAACACGGACCGCGCTACTCCTCGAACATATAGGCGAATGAACCGGACAGTACAGAGTTGAAATTCCGGAAATGGAAACGACCTTGACATATAGGCCCGAATTCTTGCAACTGAGTTCAAGCATACAGTTGAATGACGGATATCAGAGTCGATCGGAGAGAACGTGTCTATTCCAAATGGATCATGTTCCACCCGATACACGTGACCAAACAAGGTTGGACTATGGATGATTTTACACACTGAACCGTGTGCACACGAGTAGTTCGGTACGAATGAACTTGAAATATCCCGATTACTATGAAAGACTCATCAGGATAAACCGGAACAAATGAAATTCCGATCTGCCTACCGCAATCCATAGCGATTCCCACGGGAGCGAAATTACACAGTTAGACAAACACGGATGCAAAAAACTACTTGTAAATCTGGATCGCTTTCAGCGTCACGGTGATGCTAAAACCAAAACTACGTATCATGATAGACTAACGGGATAACCTCAGAGGTCCTGCTTCGCGTTCGTTTTAATACCCGGGCGTTGCTACGATGCGTCTCGATTGGAAAATCATGCGGAACTTAAACTGTTTGATTTGACCGTCATTGGATGTATATTTGTATACTGTATACTCGTACCAAACAGGCAATAACTTACGATAGGGGTCTTTGGGTACACCGGTGAATATAATGCGATAATTAGTGACAAACAATGCACCCTGTGCTGGCAACAACGGTCTGAGCATGGCGTCCACCTCAAAATCGTTCTCCACCGGAGATCCCGGACCGGATTTGTCGGGCCCATTTGGTCCGCCTGTACCGGTGGCATTTAGATCACCGAGTGCATCCAGAAGCTGACAGTCAGTCCGTTCCAGGCGACCGTCCACCAGCAATTGACAACGTACACAATCATAACCGCCGATCGGGATGGCCACTTCACTGGCCAGTAGAGTGGGGTTGGCGATTTCCGGCTAACGGGAGACAGAGGGCAGAACAAATTCAAACGAGTAATAGATGAGAACATATAGACAAGGGAGAAAGTTCAGTTCAGTTCAGTTCTTACAACCACTTTCGTGCATTTGGGATTCCACTCCGCATCAACCAACCATTTGGTTGTGCATATATTGTAGATGGAATTTCGAATGAAAAGGTAGTTGTCGTTAGACGACGACCGCTGGTTGAACGAGTAGTAAAAGAGAACCGAACACCGTTTGGGAGGAGGATACCGCTTCGTATCCTATTCCCACAAAATTCTATGAATAGTATCCGAAATACCGACCTGTTTTTTCACAGCAAAACAGACAATAGAGTATAATGGATAGTCATTTAAGGTGTAACATCTAGATCTCTCTCTCTCACACACGAAGTGAATAATCTCCCCTATCAGATTTATTCCAAACAATACAGGTGATCAGAGCTTGACTTGACTTGATACCACTAATGGGAATTATTGGGAGATTCGGACAAAGACTTGGTTGAACTCCTTGGTTTAAACAGATCGGACGGGAGAAGCTGAGATTGCGAATACGTGGCGCATTTCATCTAACTATGGCACACACACGCACCAAAAACAGGGATCAGTCGCAAAACAGCCGATTTTACCCGCCTCATCATTCGTCCGTAGCAGACAAAGTGACACGGAATGTTTTTTGACCGTGGGCGACTTCGTTATTATCAAGTGGGTGGTTTAAGTGGGAACAAGACTTTTCCGACATGCTTGTGCAGTGACAACAAACAGACGATTATGTAAGAACCTGTGAAAAATGGGCGAATCCGGTCTCGGATCGGGGGTTGGGTAGGGGTAAAGTGCAACAGTTTCCCTTGAGATAGTTAATGTACCGTGAAATCCCATGAGGATTAAGGAAAAAGTAGAACAGATCATCATTGATTACAGTTTGGTATTCATTTGTCCGCGTGGACAGAGAGAGAACATAAATCACAGTAGCAACAAAGCAACAACAAAACAAAAACACCCGATTCGATTGACTAACTGACAACACTATCGATTGTCCCGATTAAAATTGATCGATCAAAAAACAGAGTCTGTCGTTCCCATCGGACAATCGAGTTGATAAATTAGCGCCTGTATGGTTAGTTGCTCAGAGACTTGGAACAAAAACCACTCCGGCGGAACCGGACGAAGTAGTATGCGAATTTCAGCGCAGTTCAACTCAGTCGTTCGGATTCACATGGTCATAAAACTATTTTCGATCTAGTCTGGCAACCATATTCCAATTGCGTGCAAAAAGTGTGCACTCGGCGAAATGCGGAAATTCGACGAGATTTTACGACCCGGATGTGGAACGAGTAAGCAACCCCGGGGAAACAGGAGATGAAAGCGTTAATGGGAGACGAAAAAATAATCATCCATCAAACACCATCTGTGCGGGGGTGAAAAAATGAACTGGAGTGAACTGAAGTAAAATTATCGCGAACCAACCCCAGAGGTTCCCAATTTCGGATATCAAATATGTCATCCGACGATGAAACCATTTTTGACTGTACTTATTCTCAGGCATGCGAAAGTTTGAAGAATTACCAAGGTCATTTATTTATTGTGAGGAACGAGAAAATATTTTTGGCAATTCAAGGTTTGCTTCGAAGAAAAAGAATAAACAAACAGAAAGGTATTCAATATCTTACAGTATCAAGTTTGAATTAGCCCATTGGAGAGGCACCAGGCATTTCTTGATGGTCTTGGGTGTGGGTTTCACTTCTTGAGAGATCGTTAATTCCCCACTAGTTGATTGCATTTAAATGCAACGGAAATGTTTGGGATAACCGACAAAGAGCACTGGATAATTGTTTCGTCGATCGTGTAGCTCAGGGGTAAGGGTTCAAATCCAGACCCGAATGTTTGCGGTTCGAATCCTGACAGGGGCACAAAAGCACTGCTGACGAGTCCCAAACCGGACGAAACCGCTGTCCCGGTGCTCTTTGTCGATTACCACAAACATTTTCATCGCATTTGAAATCCAACATCTATTCTTTTTGCACAACCGTCCTCTCGTATTTTTGTAATTCGCTGTATTCTTTATTATTGAAAAGTGTTCTTGAGTGTGTGTGTGTGGCGAACCATGAGGGTCGAATCGCACGACGGCCCATATTTGAGATCGATGACCTTTTTACCGGTTGGTTAAGAACGGAAAAACTACAATAGGTATACACACACAGACATCCGAAGCCAGCTGGACGAATGATCTGAGTGAGTCGTTCCAACCGGTCTATAGGTGTAGATGTTCGCGATCAGAGGAATTTGCAGATTGCATGAGATCCCCCGAGGGGTGATAAAGATTCGACTGAACAACCCTTTCTATAAGCCCGAAAGCAACTTGCGAGCATCCCCAAAGCATACATCACTAACCACACATTGCGACCAGCAGTTAGCAGACATCGACCGTTAATTGCTTATGCCAGTTAACATCCCCGTTCCCTCGTTCTGCTCTTTCATACAATGCCCTTCGTCCTCACATTTGTCAGTTCGGTGGCTGATTTAGATAATTGCACCGTGTTTGATCAATGAAGCAACAACCATGAGCTCGTTTGCCAATTCTCCCGTTCATGTTCACTGCTCCCTCTGTCACGTGAGGTTCCGGGGGCTAATCCAGTCAATTTAATCTCTCTCTCTCTGATTGAACCGTGAATTAGGCCTGCAGAACTGGACTAAATTTTCGTGAATTGAAGGAAAGGCGAAATACTTCGCGCAGAAAGAAAACAAAACGCAAGAACTCCCCCCCCCCCTTCCTCGCCCAAACGGCCCTCAAATTAAACGTCTCACAGCACCGATCAGAATACAGCATCGTAGAATTTAGGGAATAAAACATATGCGACTCCTGGTCGGAAGAGGAGTATTTTAACTCGTTGAAACCATTGCATCACAAAGTCATGTTCATTTCTACGCCCTTAGCTTCAATGCTGGTGCAACACACCGGTGTACACATGTTAGCGTCGTCATCGTTTCGATCGCAAAACCATTTTTTTCTTTATTCAGCACAATCTGACTTACAGTCCACGCCTCATTTGAC